ATAGATTCCCGTACGGTATTTATAGTTCTAAAGGTAACGGTAGAGGCAGCGGTAGCGGTAACCAAGTTGGGCATTGAATATTACCTATATGAAACAATTTATAGTTGTCAGAGGTAGCGGTAAGGGAAGTAGAGGTAAGGGAAGTAGAGGCAAGAACGTAGAGGCAAGAGATGACCATCTTTCATCTTTTCTTACCTCAACCGCTACTCCAGCCAATCACATGGCAGTTTTTAGTTGACAGCGTCGCCTTGTAAGTTTAGTTTTTATGCGAGGGGCCGCCATTACCGCTACCGCTACTTTCTGAACTATAAATCCAGCTTTATAGTATTTTTAACAAATTTTATAATTTTCCAAAAAATCGATAATATTTTCAACCCTGCTTCTTTCACTTTTTTATGATTAAATTATAATAATTATTGTAACATAATTATTACAATTATTGTAACATAATTTTCCGAAAATTCGATAATTTTATTAACCCAATTCGATAATTTCAACTTTTACATCTGGCAACACTGTTGTCGTATGATCTGTGCGTCAGTTTAAGAAGTGCACTGAGACTTTGCGTACGTCTTTGTAAGAATATAAAAGTATTTTCTCAAATAAAATGGTTTTTACCCGTGAGGAAAAATACCAAATTATGGTATGGCATCACACTGGTAGATCGTATCGCCAAATACAAACTTTATTTCAAAATATGTTTCAAAATAGGCCTTTACCCAGTGTAGCTACAATCCGGCTGCATGCCGCGCTGTTGCCATATGCTATTATTGTTTCCTGAAAGGGTTGTTTTTCTTATTTTTTAATATTAAAAGTAAGAAAATTAACTAAATCAAATTATTTTTGACATATTATTTTTTTGTTGTTATTTTTAAAGTTTCAAACAAATAAAATTGAACTATTTATTAAGTAATTAAAATCGTTCTCTTCTGATTTAAAACAACCTGGCAACTATGGTTCGTAATTACGAATGGCTTGGTTTAAACCACGCCCAATTAAAGTTTGTTTCTTTTTCTCTGATCAGAATATAATTTGTCATCCTTGTCTCCAACCTTACTTACTTGATTCTATACAGTCTGTATATTATATATTAGGGTGGGTTGAAAACAAAATGTTTGTTTTTTTCTTAGCATGGGGGTAGAATTTGTACCTTATAAAAAAATTTTTCAAAAGAAAAAAAAATTTTACTCAACATCTTACCCATAGTTTTTGTAATTTAAGAAAAAAATTAAAAAAATTAAATGCACTTTCTTTTGTATTTATTAAAATGAAAGTTGAGTGAAAAAAATCACATTCTACAATTTTTACATGTTTTCCAAGATTTTGGACCAAAAAAAGAATTTCCCGTTGGAACTACCCCATTTGATTAAATATTTATTTAAAAAATGAGTGGGCCACCTCAAGATGTTTTTGAAAAATTTTCTTTTTTTATACATAAATTGTTTTCAACCCACCCAGAATAAAATAATTATCACATTTAGTGTATTTTACAAGAAACGCACTTTATTTTAACGATTGTATGACAATTTACAACTGTCAACTAACTTAAAACTAACTTCAGTTGTGACGAAAAACCTGTTGCCAACTTTAGCTCGTGACTAAAGCGCCATAAAGCCACAACTTGGCAATGTGTATATAAAAGGTCACTTATTGTCATGAAAACATGTACTATAATGTGCGTTTATAAGGTGGGAGTATACTCTATAGAAACAATTATAAAATTCTACATTTTAGAACTTTATAACACTGGTCGACAGCAAGTTTGCCACAGGGTGGCAAATACATTTTCTAGGGTGTGCTGATTCAAAAAATGGCCATAATTTTGCTCAATTAGATTAGTTTTTGCGATATTGTAAAACAACTGTGTTTTTTTTGACAGGAAAAAATTTTAATCAGTTTATATATTTTGTTAATGAAATACCAAGGATCATTTGTAATATAGCTATGGGTCCTAACATATTTTTTAATGTCTAATAACATAATAGTTATTTATGTCATAATTTTAGTTGTTAAAAATGGATAAAACGTACAATTATAATAAAAATTAATTTTTTTATTGGTCCAAACGGTGTTTTTAGAAAACATCACATGTGATTTTTAATTTTTAATTTTAATAGTGCACTATTAAAATTATTAATCGATTCAATTAAATTATGAAAATAAAATAAAAATGAAAATGGATAGGTAGTAGTTTTTTATATCTTTTGGGACCATTTATTTATACCGGGTGAGTTTTTTAAAATGTTATAAGGTGATATTTCGAAAAAGGTTTAAAATATTTTTGTGAAATTTAGAAAGGAGGGGGACATATTTAAACATATTTTTGACACCTAACCCCATTTCCTATTTTGAGGGGTGGGGGGACTCACTCTTTTTCTAAATGATTTTTTTATACTTGACAAATAAATTAAAATTATTTTTTAGTATTTTATAATTTAATACATCATAATTTCGTAAGCGAAAGCGCGAGACAATTTTTGTTGCACACATACCTAGTTTTTTTCGTAGATTTGAATTTAAAAAAATGCATCATCCCTATGTAACACTTTAAAAAACTCACCCGGTATAATGGTACATTGTTCGACTAGTGGGAGACAATAGTCGCACACAATATTTTTTTCAACTACCGCAATTTTATTTAATATTTTAAATTTTATTTAATATTTTAACTGACATCTGACAACTGTCAACCAGTTAGTGGACGAAGTTGAATTTCGCCCATCGCGTATGGGTTAAGGTGAAGCAATAAACTGTGTGTTGAATAAAAAATAAGTTTTTAAGGACATTTAAAAAAGTTATAATTTATTGATAAAAATAATAATACATCTGAAACCATGTTAAGTTGCTCGCTGTGTTGTGCAGATGTTTGATATTTTGGGTTAGAAAATAGCTTTGCCGAGTTTTTTTCCAAATAATTGCCTAAAAACTCGAAAGTGCTATGGCGTTAGTTAGTTAGTTAATATATAATAAATTGTCGTTGTTAAAGGCAAAGTAGGTTAAAACCATAATTAAAAAAATCTATTTAAAAGCATAATATAAAAATAAGAATATTAAAATGGCATTGTTACAACAATGGCATGCCATTTTACAATCGCAACAAAACGCCTATTTAAATTTTAATCGCATTTATAAATTTAAAAAGCAGTGAAACAGACATTAAATTAAATTATTTTGGCAGTTCGTTTTACAAAAACTAAAATTAAAATAAATGAATTTTAATAAACAAAAACAAATTTCATATAAAAATAATCCATTTAAAAAACATGAATAGCAATACTGCGTTTTGAAAGCAACAAAAAGAATTGTTTGCGAAATAATAAAAATTATATTCGAAATGTAGAATAAATATAAATGCTTTGTGGGGATTTAAATTTAGATATAATTGATATTGAACTATTCAAGAGAGATTTCATTTTATGCAAAAATTATACAATAGAATATACCCCATATATGTTAAGGTGGGTATGTAAGATAACTACCTGGATCAACAAATATTGATTGATAGGTATAACAATTGCAAAATCTAGAATTGTAATCCTATTATTTGTAGTTCAAATAAAATCAGAATACCTACACAGTAAAAAATTTCTGGTAAAAAACAACACCAAAAGTGGTCTATATAGGTCCACACTAGAAATGGTATATCTAACCACATACAATTTGGTAAATTTTACCCTTTTTAATTGGTTAAAAATCTACACGTACTATTCGTACAAAAAACTCGTAACAGTGTTAAAATCATCAAATATAATACACTCTTAGGGGTAAAAGCAACACGCAATATTGGTAAAAGAGTAGAAAATGCTCAATTTGGTGTAATTTACTACACATTTTGGTGTTACTTGTAGGTATTAAAAATGGTGGGTGTTTTATTATTAAACACTGCATGTAATAAAGTATATTTTATATTACTAACAAACTATTAGATATGAATACAAATAGGCTTTGGCATAAAATTAAAAAAAAATGAGTAACACTACTTAGGTGTATTCTTATACCCAAGAAGTGTTAATAATTTTTTTTATTTGAATGAAAAGTAGTACTTAATATTTTAAGTTTTTTCCAGTTTGTGCAAAACCATATTTAGTTTATATAGGTATATCGCCGACGGTGGACGAGTGGTTAGTGCTACTGACTACAAGCCGGAGGTCGTGGGTTCGAATCCCACCAGGGGTATGGCTGTTTATTTGTGTTTGTCCTATTGTGTAATAGTCCTTCGGAGGGGACTTTAAGCCCGCGGTCCGTTCCTACCCCTAACCCGCACAAGCCATTCAGTTGGCTTATGGGACTTCTTAAGAAGTAAGGGTGGAACTAAAAAAGAGCACTTTTGTAAAAGAGCACTTTTGTAAGTTAAATATGATTTTTCACTAGCCCAAAAAACTTAAAATTTTACTAAATTTCATATTTCACATATCACAGCTAAAAAAAACATGTTATATCACAAACATAAGTTGCATCCACTGTCACATTGCACCACTTTACCCGACCACTGAATTTTAATTTAAAAACCATGGTCTTAAAATAGCATGCATAGGTACACTACCATCAACTGCACTCGGAATACTGATCGCCGTTAGCGAATGGTGATGACTACGTGACTTTTTTACCACAATGTGTGTAGCTGTCAACAAATAATAGTGTCAAAAGTACACTGCGTCGAGTTTATCTTTAAATTAACACTAGATTGACACGGTGCTGTGTAAAATAAATTTAAATTAACACGAATGAATTTTACCACAATTTAAAATAAACACTTAATATTTTTGACCAATTTTAGTGTATAAATTAACACCAAATGATTTTACCACTCCATTTGGTAACTTTACACCGAATTATTTTTTACTGTGTATACTAATCTCTTCCTTATAAATGTCATCCATTTTTATGGGAAATGATTTGAAGAAACTCAACACCAAACATAAGGTACAATATCCCAAGAGTGCGCACTATTAGCACACCTTATCCTACTCGACATTCTAATAACCTAATTTTGCACTGACCTGCTCGTAGAGCGTCCATTTGCACCGAAGGGTAAGGTATCGAGTAAGGATAGCCTTCTTTTCTAAGGGTTTTAGGTTTGCGCCTAGGTCTATATTTGTAGTCGGGGTGCTCTTTCATATGCATGGCCCTTAACCTTTTGGCCTCGTCGATGAACGGTCTTTTCTCGTCTTCAGTCAGCAGCTTCCATTCTGCTCCTGTAACAAACAATTCTAGGTTGTACACTGTTATAACAATCAGATTTGATAACATGAGTTTGTTGTTTGTTAATTTTATTTCGTAAAATGTTAACATAATTTTTTGTAGTTTTTTTGGGTTTGTAATTATTTTAATAAAGGAAAATATGTTATCGAAAGTTTTGTAAAGGTAATATGCAATTTTGTAAGATTTTGTTAATGTTACAGGTTACAGTGTTACAGTGTTAATGGTTACAGATTATTTTTCTGTTAATTTTTTTGTTTAGGAAATTAATTAATAAAGCAACGTTTTTTATAAAATTTCTTTTCATTTAAGTTCCCAATATCCAACAAATACTTTTGTTACTTAGTCCACAAAACGTCACCTGAGTATGTCCAATATGTTATAATCGAGATAAATGGGTTTGAAACTTTTACATTAAATATCTTATTTGTTTTTTAATGAAAACTTAATTAAACATTAATAACAATATTCTTGTTTAGCCTTTAATTAGTTCTATTAAGCAACTCTTATCTCAAATTTGGATTTATGCCTCAATATTGGAAAAAACGTTTTGGAGATAAAACAAAAAGTGCTATTTTTGGATTTTAGAAACAAAATGTTGGACATAAAACAAAGTTTTAGGACATGAAACAAAACTGAATTAAAAAACACTTTATTTAATAATGATTTACTTTAATAATAATAATTATAATTATTGTCAAAATACAATGTCATATACATTAGGGTGAGCCAAAAAAACTAACCTATCGGATTTATGGGTTAAAATGAACCTACATACTGAGCAAAAAATTTCCCTGCAAGGCAAAATTTTTTGCTCAATTTTAAAAGGTGTCGGTGAGCATTTTAAGTTTTCCATTGAAATAACACGTAAAAAAATCTTTTTTCATTAAAAAGACTATAACTTTTGAACCGTTTGAGATAAAAATTTTTACGTCGCGGATTCTTGTAGAGCATAAAATTTGCCAAAGAATCTATACCAGGATTATTTTTTTTAATTCAAAAATTCGTATGTTTGAAAGCTTTGAAAAGTGTAAAAAATCACTAAACCTGCAGTTTTAGTGTTTTGTTTTTACACTTTTCAAAGCTTTCAAACATACGAATTTTTGAATAAAAAAAAATAATCCTGGTATAGATTCTTTGGGAAATTTTATGCTCTACAAGAATCCGCGACGTAAAAAATTTTATCTCAAACGTTTCAAAAGTTATAGTCTTTTTAATGAAAAAAGATTTTTTTACGTGTTATTTCAATGGAAAACTTAAAATGCTCACCGACACCTTTTAAAATTGAGCAAAAAATTTTGCCTTGCAGGGAAATTTTTTGCTCAGTATGTAGGTTCATTTTAACCCATAAATCCGATAGGTTAGTTTTTTTGGCTCACCCTAATATACATGTAAATATGTGAAAAAACGTGTACTGTCTAAAGTGGATATAGAACAAAACAATTTTATATTTATAAGGAAGCTTTCCTTGGAGATAGCACAAAACAGTTATAAAATATTTTTTTTATATGGATATAGCACAAACAAATACTTATTATTTTTAGATTTTTACAAACACATAGAGCAAAAGAAAGACTGTAAGCGAAATTTTGGAGATAGAGTAAACCAATTTTAAACCTTTTATACTAAACTCGGATTTAGACTAACCTAAACTAAAAACTGACACAATTATATCAAAATAATATTATGGAGATGGAACAAATCAACTTCAACTTTCCGAAAATGCATAAACCTCAAAATGGAATAAAATGGAGATAGCACAAACCAATACTCAGGTGACGAAAAAGGTTTGAAAAAATAAGATCTTTTTTTGAAAATTACCAGAGTTATGATTGAATTATTGATATAGGATTTTGTTATTAAATCTACAAAATTTTTTTTAATTACACAGTAAAAAAATTATATGTAATTATATTTAACATATTTGTTGTGTCCCAGAAAGTCCACTCAAATTTTTTCGTTTTTTTTTATTTAATTACTTGTTAATTTTTAACACAACAGAATGTGTAAAAGCAAATTAATATATGTTATTTTTTTTACATAACTGCAAAGTTAATTTAACAAATCGTGTTTTGTAAATTTTATTTTTTTTAAATGGTTACTTTAACCTAAAGTTAGGTCCTAAACTAATAATTAATATGATTTAAAATCTGTGTAACTTTAACATAATTAAATATGTTAAATTTATTTATATTTTATTTATTTTATACAAAAAAGTGTTACTATTGATTTTACACAAATAGTATGTCTTCATTTAATTATTTTAATAAAATATTTAAATTAATATAAGAATATTGGTTTTTGGGCATAAAATAAATATAAATAAATAAAAAAATACTCAATTGTTTTAATTTGATTTTATACTCAAATATTTAACAAATATTTTTGAGTTATTTAAACTAATGTATTATATTGAAATTAACATAATTTTCTCGTAACATTAACTATATTATTATACTAAAATGTACAAAAAAATTATTATTTAACATTCTTATTTGTGTAGAACCATTTAACACATTGTTTGTTCAATCTTTTGAAATTGTAAGATTTTAATTATTATATTTTTTGTATCAAGTAACATACATTCATTCATTCATTTATGTTATAAACACTAGGAAGTTTATGTAAATTTTTACATTTTTTATTTAACCCTTTAGCGTTCTTTGGTATAAACCTAGTACCACCCTGTTTGTTCAATATTTTTACCTTGAAATCTGGGTAATATGCATCCCAAATACATCATCCTTTAATATGTGTTGCTCTATGTTATCAGTCGATTTTAAGATTTGTTCGGGTGCGGGTTTATTTTAAAAAGTGGTACACCATATATACCAGTGAGATTTAAAAAGCATTAATTTTGTAGATTTAAGTGTTTTCAATTTAATTTTCATTAATATTTATAAACCAGAAGAAATTTCGAAGAAATAAATAAGTAAGTATTATCTATATATTTATAATGAACAACTAAAACTTAAAATTTCTAGTGCCGTACTCAGATTTTTAGTAAAAAAATATACATATTTATGAACTGGAATTAATTTTGAGAATTTTGTATACATTTTGAATCCTTTTTTCTATAAGTTCTAATCCTAGTTTAGGATTCATATTTTAATACATGCTTCATATACATATCTTAATAAAATAACCATCAAGTTTTCATCCAGTTCTTTTTGCGCTAGGAAAATTTTGCCTAATTTCCATTTGAATGTAAACGATTTTACTAATGAAAATAATGTTTTGTGGTATGATAGCGATAAAAAAAAATCATAAATTGTACTAATTGTTTTCATAATATTTTTCTAATTAGTTTTTGGTTTTGTCAATTTAATTTTCACATAATCTGATTATTAGAAAAAATGCAGGGCCGTTTTTAGGACCATAAGGGCTATAATTAGAACATAAAACAAAAAAATCTATGAGTATGAAAATACCAAGTTATGTTTTTTTATAGAAGAATGGATAAACAAAAATTTAGGGATGAATGGTACTGGAAGAAACCGCTCACTGAAGGGGAATTATATCAGCTGGCTGAGATAACTGAGGACCAAGCAGAAAATTCGGATATCGGGGGGGGGGGATTCTGATGCGGATGACCAATTTGACGTTCAGACAACAGGATCAGCTGATGCACCCTCCTCAAGTTTTTTGCCAAGTAGCTTTATGTGTAGAATGCTTTGGTCTCTACCATACCAATTATTAACTTTGTAAGATTGTTTGTTCATTTATTATAGAGTTTGGTTTTATTTTTCTTTATTTATTGTATGTTTGGTTTTTGTTATAAATCTGTTCATTTATTATAGAGTTTGGTTTTATTTTTCTTTATTTATTGTATGTTTGGTTTTTATTATAAATTTGTTTAAAAGCTATTGTGTTTTTTATTCTGATTTCATTTTATTATTTTATTATTGGGTTATTAAAGGAGATGGTATAGGGTTTGTACCAGAGAACACAGCCCACATATTTAGTCCTAAATGGTCTCTGGTAAAATGGTTTACCGCCTAATATAAAATAAAAAAATATAGAAAAATTGATTGCTAATTACATATTATCTTTTCTTGTCTCCAGAAGACTGCATAATTAGCATTTTTTATATAAAATAGTATTAGGAAAATTTTGCCCGTTAAAGGGTTAACACGCAATATTTTTAACACAAATTTTATAAATTTTTAACTGTGTACAAACTACTTCTTCAATTAGTTAACAGATTACAGTTGGTTGTAAACTTTACATAAAGTTATGTGAACCTGGATTAACATAAAATGTGGTTAATATTTGGTTAAAATTAACAAATATATTTTGAATGTGTAGTAAAGTCCATCACGAGACATTTACAAAGTTTTAGTAAGATTTTCTGTCTGGTTTTCGAGTAAAAAACATTAAAGTAGCTAAAGATAGATGTACTGTAAAGAACATGTTTTTTGACATTCCGGGACTTTGTTTCTTAAACTTAAGCACATAATAAATAAAAGCAAACAATCTCATAATCATTTCTTCTTGTTCATTTCTTGTAATTCCGTTAAGTGAGTGAGTCGAAAAACACAAAGTAATATTCGATAAGAAAGAAAAGAATGGCTGGCAAGAAGAGCAGCATTAAATTATCTTTTGAGCGGGAGCGAGCGAGAGAACAATAGCTTGTAATTAATTCTTATCTGCTTCACAGAACACAGAACTTCCATACAAAGTTGCAGACGCAAAATGACAAAACACGGTAATACAGTGAAGCTATTGGTCGTGCCAACACTGTTTTTTTCTTTACAGGAAAAGAATCCATATTGAAATTGAAACTGAAAAAAGGGTGAAACCTTATGGTGCTACCTTATCTACATCAAAAACTTAAGAATGACACGTCAAAACGACTTAAACTCCCACTAATTGTTTGATAAAATCTCCAGAACTAAAAATTACATTATTAAATTCAAAGATATTTATCAAAATAAAAAAAGGTGCACCTGCTTTGGCCCGTAAGTTGTCGAGCTTTTGTTGTATTTTTCTCGTGGGTTTATAATGGTAGAATTATCGTTTGTACGTTAATTGAAGAGGGCACCCTGTGTATAACGATGCCCCACAAATATTTACGGTAACAATTAGTAGAAATTCGTCGTAACGATTTTGTTTGGCCAAAGGCGCCACTCAGGAATTTAGGAGACACATCATTGAAATTGTCAACTATGTCAAGCATACAGTAAGTAAGACTTGCACAGTTGTAAAATAATTAGCTCGTAGGAAAAATAGTATATTATGTATCAAGTTTGATAAACTCCATTTTATACACGAATTCAATTTAAATTAATGAGTGTATAGAAAAGTTTATAAACGAGGTGCATACTATACTTTTTCTACGATAAATACTTATTATTATCTTAAAATGATTTAAATCAAAAATTTGTATAGAGCGCCATCTATGAAACAATAGGGGAATCTGTGTGTCACCGTCAAATGTCAAATTTTTACATTTTATAAACACAATAATTGTTATAATTATTATAAAGGTTATAAATCAAAATGAATTTCTTAAAAATTTAGTTTTTCACAGTGAAAGTAAAGAAAATGTTTTATGAGCACTTTACAGTGGAGTCCGTGCCCAAATTTAAGTTTACTGCGGGCGAAATTAAAAGGTCAGTACAATGTTCATATAAACTTTTCAAATAATGGCGTTGAGAAACTATTTAATACTTTTGTATTGAGATAATAAAAGGTTTTTTGAGCTAAAGTAACGGATTCTGGTGGACACTAAACCATAGCATCATAATGTTTTGTAGTATATTTACAAAACCTCTTGGTTGTATAGGAAGTTTATTTTCTCGTTGTTGGTAATTCTTTCCGTAAATCTAATAATCTAAGAGAGAAGTGGAAAGACAGAAGTCGATAATAGCAATTGAAGCGAGAGACAATAATCGCAATCTCTTTGGAATGATGTAACTCGATGAGAACAATACTTGAGCACAATGAGTTCTAAAGAGACATCGCTTTAGGCCATTGTTTAGTTTGGAGTGTTTGTTGCGAATAAAAGGCCAGTTTGAACTGGAAATCTAAAGGAAAATATAACCGCTTTATCTGTCATTTCGAGTTAATATCTTTCTATTCAGTAAAAAGAACAATTCCCAATGGATATCCACTATTTCTGTTGTTTGTTCGACAAATTAACAAAATCCGTTTTTATTTCGAGAAGTTTGGTTCTATTATTGGCTATGTTCAGTAGCGTTTCAAAAATGATTTATCCAGTAACTGTTTTTAAGTCCTATTATACAGTAACCAGCAAAAGTATGGAACAAATTCATTAAACATTATATCCATATATTTGTTATTTAAAATTATTTAAAATCACTTTTCATAATATTATACACAACCTTACAAAAACCAAACCTTTTATTTACCTATTTTATATTTGAACAATATTTTATGTTTTATGTCTTAACGATGGCTTTCTTGTAGTTTGCCTGAAGATGGTCTAAAGACCGAAACTAGTCGCAAATAAATATTTACAAATAATAAGGAAATATTCATTACGTACACATACACCTTCAAAAAGTTTTTATTAAAAGATTTCCTAATTTCAAGGTCAAACTTTTTCAGTTTACTATTGTTTTTTGTTATTCTACAAATAGCAAGTGTCGATATATGGTTTTTTATTTTATATTTCTTTGTTAGCATATAATTTAAAACAAATAGAGACTACTTGATGTATCTGTCTCTTAAGCGTTTTTTCTTCTTTGACGAGAATATGACAGGACAAACGTATTTGGGATTTTTGCAAAACTATCTTCTTTCCACATTACCAGAAATGTTGTTGATCTAACAATTGATACCATTTGGTTTGCACTATGCGCGACCTGCCCGTACTTTTTTGGACTGAGAGGTGGATTGGCAGACGAGGACCGATAGAATGGCCAGCGGGATCCCCAGATCTCACTCCTTTTGATTATTTTTTATGGGGCTACCTTAAATCAAAGGTACATCAACAGACCACAAAATTTAGAGGACTTGAAAAATAAAATTCATGAAGAATATCGCTTTATTAGTGCGGAAGTCATCCAAAACGTTTTTGGGTAGGTTTGCTTACTGTCAAGAAACCAACGAGGAGCAATTGGTTAATGAATCAATTAAAAGTATTTTTAAAATAATTTTCATAAAGATAAAAAATATTTTTTTGGAAATAAAAATTCTTAAAATTTAATTATATCCCCATTGAAGTGACCATCATATCATACATTCAGTTAATATAACAACACGCAAAATAAACTTCATTGAAACACATTGTTCGCGGACCTAATATTAATGCAATATGAATTTTAAAGCTCCATAAAAACCTTAACTTAGCATATGAATGGCGTATGTATCCTCTCTCCGCTCGTCGAGCAAAACGTCACAATTTAAATAGATTCCCCACCCCTAAATGGCATTATTATAAAAGGTATATCATAACGCATTGTGCTACGCATTTTTGTTTATGTTTCATAAATTATTCATGTCATATGCGGATCATCTACAGAGGCCATGATCGACAAGTGACAGTCTACAGCTGCCGTTTCACGGGTATCTAGATTCTGAAGTGTTTTCCTGTCCTGGCCAGCGTGTTTTTCTTATGAGTAGAGGGAATTTTTTCGGACGTAATGAGTTTTGAAAGATGGGTGTCAAACAACATTTTTATAATTTTTATTGAGTCATCAAATTGGTTAACCACTGTTTTACCCTAATAAATTAAACGTTTCTTATAAGGAATTCTATAGTTTTTGGGAAGAAATAATTCCTTTTGTGGAGGTACAATGGTAAGGAGGCACAATGCAGGGATTAAGCTAAGAAATATTGGTTTTCCTTTTATTTCTTTTCACCCAGGTGTTGTTGTATTCATTGATGGTCATTGAGAAAAATAGGATAATCCCTTAGTATTATTAGAACATCTGTTATTCAAAAAATATAAAAACTTACCGAGCCGTTTCGAGATCTCGGAATTGTGCATTTTCGGATTTTCCTGCGCGATTTTCCGCCGCTGAAGCCGCGACCACACCATAAAAGCGTTCATGGGCCGCTTGATGTGATCCTCCTGTTTTTTCGACGACGGTACCGATTGCAGACCTTGCGGCACTCCCAGCGCCGCGCCGCCTAGCGACGCCATGCGCGAAAAACCGTCGGCGGTGCTGAAACCGCCCTCGCACATCTGACCAACGGACCTGGAAAATTTGGAATTATTCGGAACTGTATATTGTAATAATGTATTAATTAATAGGTGGAAATATTGTGGCAATGAACTTGATGTTTATTGAACCAATTATTTTTATAACAACCACTTAACGTGTGTCTTACCGGGTAAGATACTCTCTCGATTAGACCACGTTGCATTGATAACGGTTGTTTTTATTTATTCGCTTGTTACTTAATTTTCTCGATTTATTCTAAATTAAAATCAAAATAATTCGTAGAATAATCAAACTTGTTCTTACCCCTAAATATTCCAGCATCAGAAGTGGGGAACATCGGTTATAATCGTATAGGAGAATGAAGCAAATATAATTTAATAGTCATTTTTGAATGGAGTAGGTATATAAATATTAAATTTTTCTATGGTGGTATTTACTTATGAATAATGAATATTTGTTCCTACAGAACTAAATAGTACGCTAATTATTTTAAGTTGTTTTTAATAGCGTGGCAACATTGCTTTTGTATTTAATTTTTTATATATTTTTATTAAATTAAGTACACAAAAAATCACACGAAATATAATTCTATAAATTATCATTTACGACCTAATTTAATCAATTTAGTAAACTAAATAATAATTTATAACCACGCTAAAATCGTTAACATTTTAATAACAAAAATTATTTCTCAAAAACAATAAACATTCAGGTTTAAATAGGTCTGCTAAACCTTTTTTAACATGACAAAGTTTATTTTTTTTAAACGGTTATAAAAAATAGATAAACAATTTAGTTTATTGTTCATTTTAACAATGTGTGAATGATTGACAGTGAATAATATCTATGACAAAAAATATAAGCTCGACAATGTAGGAAAGCCATTTCGACACTTGCCGTCGCAAGAAATTCTTTTTTTTTAAGTTTTATAATTATGAGAAGTTAACTTCTCTATAGTATAGTATAGTATAATATTATGATGTATCAAGTTTGATAAACACCAGTTTAGTCAGGAATTTTAATTATCCACGAGCAAAGCTTGCGAGCGAGTGTTTAATAAAATGAAAGCCTAGTTTATAAACGAGTTGCATTTGTATAGAGCGACATGTAGCCAAGTAAATACGATACAGAAGCAAATTATTAATGCTTTTTAAATACTAGTTTGCATAAATTTTTTTAAAGATTGGTTTCAAGAAACTATTTAATAATTTTGTATTGAGATAAATAATTTCCACATTTAAATATTATTTTTCAAGAAGGGCATTTTATTATGACATTTGACAACTGTTAACTTCAGCCCGTAACTTAAAAGTCACTTCTGCTAAATTCCGTTCGTGGCTAAAACGCCATAGTCACAGCTTGTCAATGTCTATTTCGAAACATGTACGATAATGGAAATTTTACAGGTAAAAAAAATATATTTATATTTATTCAAATTACTTAAATTTTTACCGAACACCGTGCAAAAAGTGCCAATGTGCCAATTAGAGCGAGGCATGTTGGCGATCCCATTATAAATTATGTTTGAAATAACCCAGCGTCAAGAATTACGAAATTAATAATCCCGTGCAGCAATGAATTAATCATGGCCAAACGAAACATTAATAACTGAGTCAATTAAAGGTACAAATTGACTTGTACGGCTTGCCTCTCGACTTGACCGAAGATATCCAAGGTATTTTCAGGATATTCCGATGGGATAAATACTTCTAAATCTAAACGGGGGCGTTCCAAGGACCTAAGAATTTTCGTGGATAGGTCTACGAACGATATATTCATTTTTTAGAGATATTTAGTATAAAAGTAAGTATGCGTCAAGATTTTACTGATTAGAGGTATACCTAACTATAGTTTTTTAAGGATATCTTTTAAGTTAATAAAGATACAGAAAAAATAAAAAGTTTATTGGAAAGAGCATGCTTTTTTCAACAAACCCTTAAAATTTAAATAAAATTGTTGATAAATTGTAAAAGTTATAAATGTTTATTTAAAATGTTGTCATCAAAGCCAATTTGACAAGACTATTTAGGATAACTTTTGAGTGAAAAAAGATGCAGAAAAAATGCAATATGCAAAAAAAGTGTACATTTTTATGAATCATTCCTTAAAATTTCAACATCATTGCTAATAAATTGTAAAAGTTATACACATTTTTAAAAAACATATTCACAAGACTAAAATCCCTGGAACACCTCGGTGTCGTATTACCGGCGGACCGGGGCGTTAAACGAGGGGCTAAAACACTAAACGACCCCCTCTGGGCACTTGTTGGTCAAAAGCGATCGTACGATGGCCCGTCGCTCACGGAAACGCAGCATCCAGATAGCCTTGCACGCGAGAGCGAGAGAAACAGATGAACGGAGCGAACGTTAAAAACATCAGCGGGATCTCGATGTGCCGCGATAAACAAAAGACTTGTTGATTTTGACGCTCCGCCGTCCGAAGAAGACTTGATTAAAATGAGTTTGGGGTGTTTTATGGAAGAATGGGCAAAATTAGTAATACCAAGGTCACTTTTGACATGTTTTGAAAAAATAAAGTTCGTTAAAATGAAATATTAAATAGTTGAGAAGTTCCTGTAACCCCACAATGCATTTTTTATGAAGAATCTGAGGTAAAAAGGTAAGCCCAATAAAACCTAATCCCTTGTAAAAATATTAAAGTAAAAACATAAATTCCAGTGGTGTAGTAAAATGTATTTTGATAATAAATACGGTCGATTCCAAGAAAAATGCGTTTATTATCTAAACGGCTTTGTAAAGAATATAACTGGTTTTGGCCAACACCTGGTGAATTTCTGTACGATGGTCTACCTACGGTTTATTTAGAATGATAGTTTTGGAATATTAGTGAATGTAAAATTATAAATTTTTTGATAAAATGTCATAAGCGAGAGAATATACCTACCGTATATAGAAAAAGTATTTTAGTGGTGAAGTTAAATAAATTCTATTTTGAAGAAGAAATAATGGAAGAGGTCAATACCGTTTTGAAGATGAATAAATACAATTTTGAAAAAGAAATAACGGAAAAAGTCAATTTAGGACACAATTTTAAAAAATAATTAACCTCGACTTGATCTGTTGCAAGATGGATTAACAGTTCTTAGTTTATCTGATTCCAGTTATACTAACTACAATTAATTGCATTCATTATCTTCTAAGAACCGAACAATTTTCCTATTTAGTGTCTCCTTCATTTTAAAATTTAGCAAAACACATTATTTTTGCTTAATTACCATAAAAACTTCATAATTCATCCAAGCATTGTTTACAAAACGTTCATCATTATTTATTAATCAAATTAGCATAAAAGACTGGCATGTCAACAATGTACACATTAATCAAGTAACATATGACACTCAATTGTTTCATAAGGTTTACCAACCTGATAAAGTGGCCGTTGGAGGCCTGCCTTTGAAGATCCAGATCAATTTTGAAGCTTTTTGTCACAGAAAACTCGCACAAAACACTGTCACAAATGTCAATTGTTGATGATGGTGGTGAAATTTGGCAACAGTCCCTGTATACGTGCTAAAGCAAACGAGTCACGACTATCTGTGTCGTGGTGTGCGGTGCAAGAAGGTGCGCGGGTGTGCGCGTGCGCACGGCGAAGAACCAATGGAGAAAGCGGGCGGAGTTACGTGCATTGTATGGTTCGAAAACAGAGCGAGACTCCGCCTCGCCTTTGTCATGTTAATTTTTTATCTCTCGCTTTATTGTACAGGTGTTTTTCGATTGTGGATTCGTTTTTTTTCGAGCCTCTTATTTTAATCAATGGGAGGCGAATGCAAGGGGCACTGCGATGGTTTTAATTGAACCAATTTTTTGGTTTTTGATGACTGAACTGAGTGCGCCATGGTGTCATGGGAAACTGATACGCAGAAAGAGATTGTTAATTATTTTGTATGACGGTTCGTTATAATAAATTGTTTAGTTTTTTTGGTTTGTTTGTTCGGGCTTCAAATTTTGTCTTAATGTGATTAATCATTTTTTTCTGATTGTCATTTTTTTCATAAATACCTATTAAGTGTCTTGATTTTTTTTGTTAATATTTGTCCAAGGTTTTTACTATTAATAATTTTAGATATTTTATAGACCTAGGTATCAGAAAAGAAGTTAATAAAATATTATAAAATACATACATACATACATACATGAAATAGGTAGGTATGTAAAAATTTTTTTTCCAATAAAAAAAAATATTTTTATAAGATTTTAACATTAAAAAATTGCAGAAAATTTTTGTAAACCAGGGCCGTGCGCAGCATTTGCCCCTGGGGGGGTTTATCAAAAATATATATATTTTAGGTTAGTTTTCAGTATTTAAGGTAAAATTTTATAAAAAAATATATATTTTTAGGTTATTTTTAAGTATTATATGTAAGTAAAATTTTATAAAAAAAATTGTATTTTAGAATTAAGAAGTAGCTTTAAAGCTTTTTATAAAAGTTTTAACTGATTTAACTAAGCCCGAGCGAAGCTTGCGAGCGAGTGTTTAATAAAAACAAGTGTCTAGAGAAGTTTATAAACGAAATTTATACTATACCTTATCTACGACGAACACAAAAGAGAATTTAAAGCCAATTTTAGTAATTAAAAATTGTTACCTAAATGTAACCTCACTTTTTTCCAATTTATAATAAAACTAACTTCAGCCAGTGACTATAAATTCTCTTTTGTGTTCGTCGTAGATAAAGTATAAATTTCGTTTATAAACTTCTCTAGACACTTGTTTTTATTAAACACTCGCTCGCAAGCTTCGCTCGGGCTTAGTTAACCTCATAACTAAAATGTCGTCTATAAAACTTGATACTATTATTATTAGTGTATTTAATATTGGCTCAGCAGAGCCCATAGGGTAAAGATATCCATCTTCCTATTGTCCACTTTATTAAACTCATGTTACATATTTTTTGCCTATGTATTTCCGCGTTTTGCAATGGTAAAGAGGATTAAGTCCTAGGTTAATTTTAAAATTACTTTTTACCAGTGGATCTGGTAAATTTATAACAAAAATACTAAGAATACAATTGAATCGGTGAGATTAAGTAGAAGTCCAAAAGTTAAAATTTTGACAAAATATTTCATAAAATCCGTTTTATAATTCAAAATGCATTTTTGTGAGAATATTTTAACACATAATAATCATATTATGTAAAATGATTTATATCTTCTTACAAAAATGCATTTTAAACTTTTAAATTAATTTTTTTAAATGATTTGTCAAATTAAAAATTTTGGACTTGTAATGTTCCTAATTTCACCGATTCAATTACATTATGTAAATATCCTAATTTAGTATGTTAATTGTCATTCTCTAAACTAAGATTTTTAAATTAACTAAATATACTTTTCAATAGTAAATATTAAGTCAATTTACCATTATTTTTAAAAGTGTACCTACCTAGTTTATTGTCAACGCTACACTGTTAAAAAATAATGGTTAATTTATTAAATGTCTATTGGACAGTAAAGTAAAATTATAAATCTTTGTTTCGGGAGTGACAATTACAATACTAAACCAGGATATTTGAATAATGTATTGTAGTTATATTGTATTATTAGTATTTTTGTAGTAAATTTAAAAGATCAACTAAAAAGTTTAGGAAAAATACAATCCTTATACAGTTAGGCATTTTAAATTGAAAAGTGATCTGGCGCATCTGTTCTAGTTTTAATTTTCAACAGATTTACTGTACTATATGTTGGGAAAAAGATTAAAAACATATGTAAATGCTTTAAATTTAAACAAAAGCATACATTTTTTTGCGGACAATTTTTAAATTTTTTCAACTGTATCGGATAATTCTTGTCATTAAATTGTCATTCCACACCCTGTACAATAGACATAAACTCATAGAAAAATTGATTGATAACATTTTCATAGTTATCTAATGTAGGCAGAGATAATGTACCAACAATGGGTCATGTCTCTAGTATTGACACATGAAAAATTGGTATATAGTTGGTATTTTTATCGTTGCGTGGGTTGGGCGACTTTAAATAGAATTAATGTAGTTATGTAACGTGATAAATTTGCTATTTTCTATTTTATTATTATCATAATGCATCTTTAACTTCACGGCCCGGTCACAGTTCAACGCTAAGCGATGTGCATTAAGTTTTATTAGACAAGAAATAATGACTTATTATTTCATAATTTCATTTTTTTGTTTCGTAAATATTTTACAAATTTTACAAATTGTCGGTTTTCCAGATTTTGACATTTTTTTACATTTTTACAACTATAGCCAGAGTTGGGAGTACTGAGTATTTTTTTTAATGGATTATGCTATCATTACTAATTATTACTTGATTTTATAATTGTAATGAGAGAAAAATATTGAGTACTTTTTATTTTTACTTTACCAATTTGATAATTACTTTTTTTTTTTATTTTTTTATTATAATCAGAGAAAATATCAAGTACTTTTTATTTTAACTTAAAATGTTTACTGATTCTAAATATTTTTTTATTTTATAATTAAAAAATAATAAAGAACAGAATACATTGTATTTTTTTATTTTTTTTTTATTTGATTAGAATGGTGAATAAGGATACTTCCGTGCTTGTTTATGTTTTTATTGCGACTAGTTTCGATCTATATTAGTCTAATATTATTAGATCATCTTTAGGCAAACTACAAAAACATGTAAAATTATTATAAGGTTATGTTAACATGATAATGATAAAATTAATAGTTTAAAGTAACAATACAATGGTTGATAACAAATATTAAATACTTACATGTCAATAATTGAAATATTTGTAAAAAGGTTTATCAATTATATTAAATATATGCATAAAGATAGTTTTAGATTCTGATTAAAATTATTTACAATATACAATGACTTGAACAGGGCCGGCTTAAGGCAATTGAGCGCCTTAGGCACTTAAAAATTTGGCGCCTCCAACTAGATACTATACTTACGGGGCCCGGGGCAAATTTTAAAAAAGCTTATTAAAGCCACCTCAAACTGTTATCTTAAGGGCGCCCGGGCATTATAACCTAATTATTCCCTAGGAATTAAAATACTTTTTATCATTAAAAAAATACATAAATAACATACAAACATAACAAATATAATGTTAATAAAAAGTGTTAAGACTTATAAGTGCGTTTTTCTGCATTTAAAGCTTGCAAGATGTCATTAGTCAGTATTAAAAAAAATTAAAAAACTTTAATTTTCTGTATTTTTATGTAAGATGTATTGCTGGTTTATTGTAATTAGTTTAATATTAAAATTTCAGATATACCTTAAAACAAACAGAAAAATAAATACTATCTAAATGTAGATTTAACCAGCATTTTGTGTAACGTAATCTAACGTAACGTAATTTAATTTAAAAGATTAAACTGTATAACCCTACTTTCTTAAAATTAACTAGTCAAAAATGACTATTGTCATAGCCATAGGACATTTAGCAATCAATTCCTATGTAAAATTATCCATTGAATCAAAAAATTACAAACAGTTTTTGAGTTTAGTCAATTTTTCATATTATATTTTTAATTGACTATATCTCCAAAACTGTTCTGCTTTTATAATTTTTCGCTATGTCAATTAGTAATTTTTGGCTAATTCATTTTTGAAGAGTATGGATGCGTTTACTTAGCTTTTCACGTAAAATAACATGAAAATAAATCTGAGCTTGCGCAGCGTAATACCAACCTTATTTCCAACAACAAAATTCCATATGGAATGTTTGAAGGTTAGTAATATTGTTTCGTAAAATCTTTGTATCATGTTTAAAAGTAAAGATTTTTAACATTCAGTCAACCACAATCTTGCCAACATCGGTTTCAAAAAACAACAACACGTCTGCATTATGCATGGGCTAAACATGGACTAAATGTTGTATAAATGGCACAATTGATAAATTACATTAAATTACGTAACAACACATAGAAGTGCCACTCTTGAATAAACGCGAAGTACTTCCGGCAGCAGTTTCCTCTAGCATCGCGTACCCGCTGGGGTGAGCAGCACATCAAAGCGGGTACCCGATGCAAGAGGAACCCGTTTGCTTGGAGCATACGGGGGTTATAAATAGTTTAAAGAGTGCTAGAGATATGTTTATACAGGGTAAAGTTTACAAATTAAATTATCTTTTAAGTTTTTCTTTGCAGTTTAACGTTAAGGTTTGTTATTTGTTAATTAAACCAAATTACTGTTCAGTTAATAATAAAATATCTTATTCTACTTTAAAACGCAGTGCCCTCGAAATCAAGCATGGTGATATAACACATGATTAATTTTATCTGAAATACATTTATGTATTTGGCATAAAAACAGAATTGAATTTGCGGCACGCTTTTTTGTCGGCTTTACACCTCGTTATTACAAAGGAAGCTAAATTTTTATAAAATAATAAAAACAGTAAAGAATATTCTGTTATTATAATTGTATATTGTTTATTTGTTTTATTTTTGGAAAAAATAAACATTTTGGTAACAATTTTTATTTTTTTTAAGTTGCTTGGGGACAAGGCGCCTATTTCTACGTGGCGCCTAAGGCAATTGCCTTGC